AAGTAAATAATTACAGTTAAACAAAGACATGTCTATTCTTTATAATATCAGAAGCACAATTATTTAAATTAAGAAATACCTTCATCAAATATTATTAGGGAATATCTACAAGTTCAGTTAATATATATATATATATATATATAAAGTGATATGACATGTACAGTGAAAGGCTTCTTAACATGAAAGATAAAATACCAACATTACAGAATTCTAAGACTGCTTGTCAATACAGATGTTCTAGATGTAATTATATATACATCTTCTACATCTCAGAATCCAGAATTAAAGAATACATTGACTTATACAGTCAAGTATAAAACAGCATGTACTGAATGAATGTAATGATTCAGCAAATCAAAATTATTTTTTAATTACTGCTAAAGCTAATGATAAATTACAGTTTAGGATTACAGCATGTTTGTTTTATTGTAACTTGTTCACTCCCGCTGCCTATATTAAAAAGTAAAAGAAGAAACAAAATTACTCGTTTTTTGCTTAGTTTTCTTTTATATAAAATATGCATGCTTATTACTCTTATCCAGAATTAAAAATGGTGAATGTTAGCTTTATCCTGAACATTAGGCACCTCTATAACAGGTCTTCAAATTTCAGATACCATTGCCTTCTTTTGATACTAAATCCACATGAAGTTGTCCATTTAAAATTTTCAGTTCCCCCAATCTATATCCATCAATAAAAGAAAGTTAGTACAAACATTCTCTTAGTGTTTTGAATGTAAAGAGGAAAATCTAATGTTGCAAACTCTTACAGATTGTCAAAAAATGTAAAATGTGCTTTAAACTGGCTTTCAAAATAACCTGTATTATTTGCAGCTAAGAGAAGCAATTCCACAAAGTAAGCACATCATGAGCAGTAATAAATACTATGTTGAGTGCATATAAAGCATGAATTTAATGACCATATTCAGTGGATTCTTACTTTTTGTCTCATAAATCTTGTGATATATATATATATATATATATACTAATCATAGCACGAAGCAACAAATTCAAGCTGCATCTACTAAGCCGAACATAACAAAACCTTAAAAAACAACAATGGATATTTTCCTCCATCTTAGTCGTCCTATCCAATAAATTAATTTAAACACTAAAATATTCAAAGCCAGTCCTTATCACATCTGATGGTACCCTGTTCCAAAGGCTAACAACCCTGTTAGAAAAATAAAACTGTCTTATCTGAAGACAACACCTAATGTGCCAAAATTTATATTTGTATCCCCTAATCTTATCATTCTCACCATTAAATACAAAAGAAAAGGATAAGGCATCAACACTATCAATTCCCTTAACAATCTTAAACACCTCAATCACATCCTCTATAATTCTTATTTTTTCAAGAGAAAACACTCTCAGAAATCTTAATCAATCCTTGTATGACAACCTCTACATCCTAGGCACCATTCTAGTAACCCTCCTCTGAACCCTTTCCAACAATTCAATGCCCTTTCTGAGGTAAGGAGCCTAAGAATGAACACAGTACTCCAAATGTGGCCTAACCAGTGACCTATATAATGACATTATAACCTCTTTATATTTGTATTCAATGTTTCTGTACATACAACCTGCTTTTTTCTAGATGTAAGTAAATATGTATTCTTGAAAGCATGCCACACTAGTGGCAACTGATAAAAAAAAACAATAAAAATAACAAACACTCCTTCCCCTCACCAAGTCACACTTGTTTTCAGTTCATTTCTCCAATCCCATGTACTTTACTTGATAGTGTAATATTAGCAATATCCTGATGTTGCTTCCCGTTAAAGGCATAGTTAAACAATAACGATTAGAGTGTATCTTGGGTTGATGTAACACAAAAATACATGAAATCCATCCAAAAATGCTTGAGTGAATAAAAAATTCAAACTTCTGCTTTGACTCAAACAGTCAGTGATATCTCATAAACACAGCATGTTGGAGAAACTTGACATTAGTCATATTACATCGTTTAATTCATGTTCTGTAAAACTGAATTTACAAGTGGTTTGAAGACCATCATGAATTAATGAAATCCCCATGATTTATGTCAAATTGTGTCCATAGGAAACCTAATTTGTCATCATACCTTTCAGGGATTTGCAAATGCCACACTATATACAAGTGAATAAGTTATAATAGCCAAGGGTGGAACCACATTATTAAACTGTTTGTAATTTCTATTTTCAAAGTCTTTTATAACTTATAATTGGTGCTTTATGCTTGCATAAAAATATTTGCAGTATTTAACCCTATCACTGCAACTGGTATGTATATTCCAACTCCAGTTGGAAATATATGTTCCAGCCACAGTGAATGGGTTAAGCACCAAAAAAGTTTAAATAGTCTTTATTTTTGTTTTCAAAACCACATTTTTAAAACATCTTAACTGACTTATGCAGGCCCAAAGGATCCCACAACCATCTTGTCTAACTCATCATATGAAGCATTATTCTGCTTTTATTACAAAATAAAATTACCATATCTCAGTACTTATCCAATATTCCTGGTTATCACCGATAATCTAAAAAAATTAATACAGTATTTACTTTTATCTAAGGAAAAGTTTATTTACTCATTACTATTATCATGTTCTGTATCAGTTCATCACTACCAGTACCACCAACTGAATAAGCCAACTTGAGCGATATTTACTTCTTCAAGTTCTTGAAAGTTGAATAATCCTACCTTGTCACAAGCCTGAAAAATGCTATATTTAATTACTTTCACTAATAAAATTGTATGTTGTATTGGAGTAATGACATTAACTTATATTACTTTATTCAGTAACAGTATGTTGCCGGTTACACTTACAAGTTACAGTTACACTGTTAATGTTACAAGTTACAGTGACTGAGACAGTTCAAACTTGTTTTACAAATACAATAAAAAATAACACCATAAAATCACCTTTTTAAGCTTTTCTTGAACTTCTTCCATTACTTAGACAAAGAACAAGAATAAAATTTTACAGACTGTTTTGTGCTTTTCACAGACGAGGTGAGGTAATATAACTTATAGTTTACTTTTCATCGTAAAGCACAACTAACGTCAACTACATCCGACATTCTAACTAGGCATTCATCTCCACCCACTTTACTAGATAAGGGGCCACCTCCAATTAACATCGTTTTCTCCAAATCTTCACGATTAATGAATTTAATTCAAGTGAATGATACAACAAGTAACTATTGTGAAAAAGAAATAAAAGTTAATCCTACAGCTTTAGTAACTATGTGTGAAGACTGACTATATACAGTTTTGAACACATATATATATTTAATTCTTTATATATGGATAAATAGCAGTTGTTAGTTGTTTCCTAACGATGATGAAAAGCATCTTCATTATATAGGATCTATATTGTAAGTAATATTTTTTAAAGTTGTAATTTAATTACTGGCTAGAATGAGCTGCGGGTCTTACTGATGACATTGAGATCAAAAGGGTTTAATAAGATATTCGTAAAACACTTAAAAAATTCTAACGCAAAGTTTTCTAGCTCATTCGAATCTAGATTATAAATATTGTTACGTCTCCGTTGGTTAGTTGATTTTCCGTAACTTCGTTCCGACGAAACTTTAGCGACACAAGTCCTTTCTTAATAAAACTGGTTTATTCTTTCCGAATACAACTTTACAATACACTTAATTTCAACACTCGCG